GTTAGACAACAGCGTCTCCTGTTACCTTAAACAGAAATAAACAGGTTTAAACAATTGATTGATTGTGTTTTTTTACTCTTATTTTGCCTACTGAGGTTCATAATCGTAGGCAGTTTTTAAACATATGCATATGGTAATGTAACGTTAGGCTTCACAGAGGGGGCTGTAAACCATTTTAACAAGCTTGTTTAGGTCCCACTATGGGCAGCTTTCCATTTGTCTGTGTTTTGCTCCCAGCTTCCCCACATAGGGTCACTTTTTAAAGTTAAAAATTGAGCCGGTGTTCTGTTAGATGAGCATACCCGGTCAGACCAGCATACCCATAGTCAAAACCCCTTCATCCCTTTAGTTCACCCCTTTAGTCTTGTATGAAAAATAGACTTTGAACTACCTGAACAGGCGTGTATCCCTTTAGTCATGTACAAAAAAACTATTTAATTACTCACTTTTTGGTGTTTTTTTAAGCATATGGCGATCTCACCTTCAATTGTTTTCTTTGTTGTACATGACTAAAGGGATACATGCCCGTTGAGGTACTTTAAAGTCTATTTTTCCTACAAAACTAAAGGGATAAATGCAAATCTGAGGTTTTGTGCATGCATATTGACTATGGGTATACTGGTACAAACTTAGAGGAAACTGGAGTGCCATTATTATTGTCATATATCGCAATGCGGATATCATTTGTAATAAATTATCAATTTGAAAATTTTAATTCAACTAACAGGCTAAATACCATCCTTAGATAGAAAACTTTGAACGGATCTGACTGTATGATCTGGCTGAATTGTCTCTGTAAAGTGCCTTGAGATGACATTTGTTGTGAATTGGGACTATATAAATAAATGGGATAAAAGAAATGATAATAAAATAAGGCAATTTTAAAATGTCTATATTGGTCCACACTAGGGAAAGTCAAAACAACACTTTTCAAAGTGTTAAGAATAACTACACTGCGACAGGAGACTCTAAATTAACCCCTTGAACCCTACGGACCCACCGGCGGGTCCAGCTGCCACGTGACCTCGTAATTTTACCAAACCCCCAGTATTGATGTAAAAAACATATTTGGCACAGTTTGGTGACATTTATGGATAAATGTGCCAAAATGGCCTCTCCGCCTAAGAAATTTCTCACTAATACCATTCTAAAATAAATATGATTCATCTGATTGAGCCCAAATTTGGTATATTTTTACACAACATTTAGATTTGAAAGTCTGTACTACTTTTTTGTGCTATAAATAATATTTTGGTAGTGTTTTGCAATGTTTATTTAAAAGAAAATTTTGGCGAGGTTCAAAAAATGCAAAATATTTTGTATTTTGTCCCTAATATTTCAGGCAGGGTCAAAGCTACAATGGTGCTGACACCAGAAAACCATTATATGACAAGTTACCTTTACAGACGTACCAAAAGTTTCTTCTTAAATCTAATAGCTGTGAGGCTATAAGTTATTTACTTTTGTGTGTTTTTGTAAGGCAGAAATTTATTTATACCCCCTTAGGGTGTAAGAGGTTAGGAATGTTTCAATAAATCTTTTTTATTTCCAGTGAGATATTGATGTTGCAGCTCTGAGTAATGATTGATACCGATATTGACCCCATACTATATCAGCACAACTCATACATACTTTTATTTCTCATTTTTGTTTTAGCAATAAAGCTCAGGGCTACAGAGTTGCTTTTCAAGAAGACCATTATGGTTGTTGCTATAAGGTTCTGCTTTGTACTTATATGTGAAACTGTATTGAAAATGATTTAGAGGTCACGGATTAGGGGACCAGGGTCCGGATCCAGACCTACCTGCTGGCTAATCCAGACCCAACTTCATTTGAAACATTTATAAATTACTGCATGTTGTATGATGAAAGTGTCTAATTTCACTTGCGCCGCTTCTCCTGTTAATACGGTAAAGCCCTCCAGAGCGTCCGGCTCCAGGCTACACGTGAGCCAATGAGCTGCAGTCAGTCTGGGTTGTTGCTGCTGCTCCTTTTAGACACAGCAGGCAAACCTGTAGTAAGCCGAGCGATGGGAAAGAAGGAGAAGATGATGAGAAAAAGTTAAAGAAAGTGTGGACTGCTGGAAGAACTGCGGTGAACTGGTGAAAGAAAAGTGAAATGGTGCTCAAAGATGACCCTGCTCGGGTTTAAAGCCTTGCAGGGCAGCCTAAAGCCCACTGCTCTCAATAACCAATAAAAAAGAGAAAAAAACAAAAACAAACAAAAGGACAGTTCAGGTGTTTTATATATGACAGGGTATTAGGGCCATTATATAGAATTTTTTTCTTCTATTTTGAGAATAAAGTCATAAAATTATAAGAATAAAGTCGCAACGAGAATAGTCATAAAATTGTGAGAATAAAGTTGTAATATTACGAGAAAAAATTCACAACAAGTCATTAAATTCCGAGAATAAAGGCCTAAAATTTCGAGAAATAAGTTTTATGACAACTCCTACAAGAAGCCCTTTCCTCCCTAAAATGAGGAATGTGGAGCATCATGTGAAGTTATACTTTCGCTCTTGTTTGACAAATAAGGAAATCTTTTAGCACCGGCATCAAACTGGGCAGGATGTCAAAATGAACTCAGGTTGCTGATTGGTGGAGCTGGTCGGCCGTTATCTGCTGGTCGGAGCTCCAAGCTTTCCTTCTGAAACCGGCTGTTGTATGAAAACTTCATTCTCATGATATATTACAACTTTATTCTCATGATATATTACAACTTTATTCTCATGATATATTACAACTTTATTCTCATGATATATTACAACTTTTTTCTCATGATATATTACAACTTTATTCTCATGATATATTACAACTTTATTCTCATGATATATTACAACTTTATTCTCATGATATATTACAACTTTTTTCTCATGATATATTACAACTTCATTCTCATGATATATTACAACTTTATTCTCATGATATATTACAACTTTATTCTCATGATATATTACAACTTTATTCTCGTAATATTACTTTATTCTTGTAATGTTAGGACTTTATTCTTGTAATATTACAACTTTATTCTCATGATATATTACAACTTTATTCTCATGATATATTACAACTTCATTCTCATGATATATTACAACTTTATTCTCATGATATATTACAACTTTATTCTCATGATATATTACAACTTTATTCTCATGATATATTACAACTTTTTTCTCATGATATATTACAACTTCATTCTCATGATATATTACAACTTTATTCTCATGATATATTACAACTTTATTCTCATGATATATTACAACTTTATTCTCGTAATATTACTTTATTCTTGTAATGTTAGGACTTTATTCTTGTAATATTACAACTTTATTCTTGTAACGTTACGACTTTATTCTCATAATTTTACGAAATTTATTCTCATAGTTTTACGAATTTATCCTCGAAAAAAAAAAAAAATCTCTAGCCTGGACTTTAGACTTTATAAAATATGTGAATCAGGAAATTTTCTATATACCAAACTGAACAATTGCTCTTCTCTAATAAAAAAAAGAATGGAAAAATGTTCAATTTTTTTCTATTTTTTTTTATTTATAAAGTAAATGTATAACATGGATGCATAAACACCTCATTTTATTTCAGTGTTAAATGCTGTTTAAAGTAATGGATAATAATTAAAAATGTCCCCGGACCTTTACTGGTTGTTGATTTTTTTATTCGGACCCCGATTATTCTTAATTGGTTACCTCTGATTTAGAGAATTAAATCATATACAACAGACATGGAGACGGAAAGGGAGATGAGAAAGAGAGAGACACAAAACAAGGGAGGATCAGATAGAAAATAGAGAAAATAAAAACTATAAAAAATTAAACAGCAAAACTAAACAATGTAAAAGATATACAGTAGTCTCTCACATGAGTTTATAAACCCTTTAAACCTTTCTGCTTTTTATAAAATTACATCGCCACACTTCTATGTATCCCTTTGCAATGTCACGACAGAACAAACCAGGACAGAAATCTTTGCTGGTTTTTCTTTGTCTATTAGCTCGACTTAAGTCACACTGGATAGAAAACGGTCAATAGATCAATTTTCAAGTCTTCATTTTAGCTAATTAGAATCATGCACTGATTTAAACCAGTCCACTGCAGGTTTAGGGTTTATTTTACTGTCATTTTACTTTGTCTCCAGGCTTAAGTCTTTTGGAATTCCTTCCAGGTTTTATACGATGTTCTCTCACCATATTCCCCATCCATGCTGAAGAAAAACATTCCTGCAAAATGAGCAGACACAATGTTTCACTATGTGAAGATGTTCTGTGATAAATGACAATGTTAGTCTTCCTACACTGTCTGCCCTGGTTTGATGGAACACTTCTAATGTTTTTCTCTTACTAGTGACTTTCCTTCTGTACTTTTTCCATATGGGCTCAATTTGTGGATTTTTTTTTATTATTAAGGAATGAACACCATGCAATACTTTGCATTAAAGTATAAAAAGTCAAAGAGAAGTAAATCTTTTTCAGGGCACTGAGATAAAGGAACAGGTTTTTGGTCCAACAATGATAGAGCTAACCCAGAAGGGATCAAATTTGGCATCAGCTTTTATTGCTGCTTTTGAATTTACTAGCTGACTGAATTGAAAGAGTCTTTGTGAATGGACACATGTCCAGGTCTGTCACCTCCAACAGAGGTTCTCCTCAGGGCTGTGTACCGTCTCCACTTCTCTACATTATGTATAGAAACAGCTGCAGGTCCACACAGGAGAACAGGTAGATATTAAGGTTTCAGATGATACTGCTCTGCTGTCTTTGTCACAGGGAGCAGATTCAGTCCACGGCCATGCCTTCCCTGATTTTATTAACTGGTGTGATGGCTTATATGGATTGAAATGTGACTAAAAAAAAAAAAAAAAGATTGTCAACCTAAGGAAAAACCATCATTAAACATAATTCTATTCAGATGAATAGAATATCTTTTTAAGATAAAGTTTTTTTTTCTTTAATGTATTGACATCAGTGTTTTCTATATATCCAAGGCCCATGAGCGCTTTGAGGAACCAAAACTGGAGGCGGTGAGTGAAAACAATGTGGAGCTGGTCCAGGACATCCTCAAGGAGCTCGGTCCCCTCACACAAAGGAGCCAGACAGCTGAAGAGCTCGTCCGCATCCTGAAGGAACCTCACTTCCAGGTCTGCACTGCAAAAAAATAAGTAAAAAAAATATCTTAAATTAAGGGTATTTACCCTTAATTTAAGCAGATAAATAAGATGATTCGCCAATGGAATGAGTATTTTTACTCTTAAATTGAGATAATTAGTTCATATGCACTTGAAATAAGACAAAGCTAATTTTTTTTCTTATTTTAAATGTAAATTGTCTAGTTCGTAGTTGTCAAAGTATTCCACTTAACTCCTCATTTTAAGAAAAAATGCGCTTAATTCAAGCAAAAATTACTCATTTAGATTTCCATTTTTTGCAGTGTGGAGTGCTTTTGTTTATGTATGAACAGACTTTGACTATTCAAATGCATCATTAACTGATTCATCTTAGCATTTTAACTCTATTTTAATGTCATTCTGTTCACAGTCCCTCCTGGAGACCCATGACTCAGTGGCATCCAAAAACTATGAAACCCCTCCTCCCAGCCCCTGTTCCTTCATGGACGCAGCCCTCAACAATCAGCCTGTTCCACCAGATGCAGTCAGGATGGTGGGCATCAGGAAGGTGTCTGGAGAGCATTTGGTAAGAATGCTAAGATGCAATCCTGTCAGTTGGATGATATACAGGATGCTCTGATGCAGCTCATGCACTCAGTCTAATTAGATCAGTTTATAACATAGTTAAAGGGAAAAACAATTCAGATTTATTTAGACTGGCAGCTCAGGATGATTGTGATTTACTGGGATGCTGCTGACTGAACAAAATGTACTTGAACCTTGCCAGGAGCTCTGTGGCCTCTTTTACCAGCTCAAAAGTATTCTGCTGTTGAATCCAGAGTTTCTTTGTTTATTTTAGCTTTTTTATATCATTAACAATTGAATATACAAAAAAGATAATCAGAGTAAATGTAGTTTAACATATTTTTTTGCAAAACATTATCTGCTATTTAAAGGAAAAGTCCGGTCAACAAGGAATAACCAGTGGGTCAATATTTATACTTAAAATTAATACGTTCATGGTGATTTAATAAATTAATCATTAATTAATAGTGAAAAAAAATATTATTTTTGTCACGATCACTCCAGTCCAGGAGCGGCCATTTTTGCCCAAATATAGTAACCCCTCCCTCCTGCCATCTTCCAGCAGTGACGTCACGGTGCGGTAAGCCTAGCGCCATTCTCCCCGCTTTCCAAGCTAAATCAATGGGAACTACTAGACACATCTGCAATCAACAACAATTATTGAAGATTTCCAGAGGAATTCACCATTGAAATTCACCAGAGCTATAGTGAAACTGACAATGCCCACGTGCATGGCAGCTGGATGCTGGAATACATCGGGTAAAAGTGGATAAAAAAATGTCCCCTTTCCGACTCATGATCCACCACGAGTTGGTCGTTGGATCGCCAACTTGAAGAGGGAGGATTTGCCATCGAACTTCTGGCCAGAGAAAAAACCCGTAATATGTAGCCAACATTTGGAAGAAGAATGTTTTCAAGATGACTTGGATAATAGCGCGTTGTGACAAACACCAGATACAGCACTGGGACTTGATCAACAGCCGATACCGCACCGTGACGTCACAAACCAGTAGGTGGCAGTAGTGTTCTTTGACAAACATGGATGCCTCCAGTAAAGAAGATTCACATGAAAATTACTCTATTTTAAAACGATTGTCATTAATTGAACAGTATGGAATAATTTCATATTAAAAGTACTTCAGAAGTTTGAATTATAAATATGACCGGACTTTTAAACCTCTTAACTGCTTCTTTTAGCATGCAGAATGTGCTAACAGCTGCCGGCAGGCATTTGCAATAACTAGCGTGTCTTTGCTGAAGGGTTTTCTGCATAGTATGGTTTTAATTCAGCCTCACCATTCCAATCATCTTAAAGCCTAAACTTTCACTGGGCCTCTTATTTTTTAGCAATGACTGTCCGGTCCTTATCATTGCTGTGCTTCAGCTATAGGTCACAGTCTGATGGGCTGAAATTCTCCTTAAGGAATGTCTGAGAGCGAAAAGGTTTTATTTTTCTATTGATGATGAAACATATCAGACCATTATACAACCACCATCATCTTAGATAATTGACATGAAGTTCTTTAACTGGAGTACGGAGTTAGTTTTTCTTTGCTTGTGTAAAGGCGCACAGTTTCCAAATGTTGCGGCAGGGGCACAGGCGCTCCCATGTCCTGAAAAGTACCCAATCACGCGAGGGTTGCTTTGTCCGGTGTGCAAAGTGAGAAAGTTAAAAGGAGCAAGCAGAAACAGTTCAACACTTGAGGACAAGGGAGGCTGCGCGTATTGGAAAATCAAACCACATGAGTGCAAAGAAGATAAAAGTATTCATGTGGGTGAAATATTGGGCCATGTGGGACTATTTGCACATTTAACATGGTAAACATGAACCTGATTAGTATTTTATGAGCGTATATATGAAGTACAGCTGCTCGTAGGAGCATTTATTTCATGTGTGGACTTTTGGCAGAATATTGACGCCATAATATGATGTAATAAAACTCGCCTATGTGACTTGAGAGGGTTAGACCTGTTGCTAACTAAGCTAAACGACATGTCTGGCAAAACAGATATGACACCTGATCAGACATATTTCTGGCTCTCTGTTACTGGATTTCATCTAGAGGGGTGAATGTTGCTTTGTGTCTACAAGTTACTCAACTTAATTTCCCACAGGAATTAATACAGTCTTCAATTGAAAGCCTTCTCAATTCGATTAAGATTATTTATATAGCTCCAGTTAACAGCACATCATCCCAAGGCACTTTACAGAGAAAATCCATTGGATCATCCAGTCAGATTGATTAAATGTTTTCTATCTAAGGAGACCCAGCTGATTGCATTAAGTCACTGACTTTACAGGATACACTCCTCCTAGAAGAGCATGTGGTGACAGTAGACATCCGCTTGCATTAACCAGTGTCAGTGTTAGTGACCTTCTGCCAACTGCTGGCTCAGGGAGACAGAAGGAGGCATGCAAGCGGAGCATAGAAGCACTGTTCACTTTAGCAGATGATCTGAGTTTATTTTCATGTAAAACCAGATGAAAGAGAGCAATTACAGTTAATACAGTAAAGCCCATAGCCATGTCTAGCAGAGGAACAAGACTAAACACTGAAAAACAGGCCCAACTCTATTATCTATAATCACAGTTGTTGAAGCTACTATGATGAAAAAAGCTTGAACTTCCAAACTTTACAGAATTAAAAATAAAGATGGAATGAAGGAGAAAAGTGGTCCCCAAGTCCTCCGTCAGCCTAAGCCTATAAACAGAATAACTATAGGATTGGCTCAATATTACCTGGCTATCTCTAAATATAAGCTTTTCAACAAATTCATTTGGCCTACTTTGAAGCCTAGCCTTAAAAGTAGACTGTGTGTCTGCCTCATGGACTAAAACTGGTAGAGTAGTTGGTTGCACAAGAGAGGAGCCTGATAACTAAATGATCAGCTTGCCATTCTACTTTTAGAAATTCTAGGAACCACTAGTAAACTTGCAGATTTAAAGTGAATTGCTCTGTTAGGAAAATAATGAATGATCAGATCTATCATATAAGATGGAGCTTTGTTATTTTGGGCTTTATACATCAGGAGGAGGATTTTAAATTCTATTCTGGATTTAATGGGGAGCCAAAAAAAGGAAGCTTAAACAGGAGAGATATGATCTCTCTTTTTAATTTTCATCAGGCTTTTCAGGCTTTTAACTAGTTTGTAGACTTCCTGATAGTAAGGATTTACAAAAAAAAAAAAACATGGACTAGTTTCTCAGCATCTTCCTTGGGGGACATATTTCTAATTCTTCCAATATTCCGCAGATGATAGAAGAAAATCCAAGAAATCTGTTGGTCCAAAGTGATCTGCTATGATATTTCAAAACACAGAAGGAGTTTTTGAATACCGTAATTGCCCGCAACAAGTTTTGGTTACGCTAAACCTCTTCCAGGTTTCCACCCCTTATGGCTTTAAATCAGGAACACAAATATTAAATTCTAATTCAATATTTTCATTATAAAGTCAATCTGAAATTGACTTTATAATGAAGTTTAAATGAAAATCCAAACAGGAAGATTAAATTCAGCCACACCTCTCATGCAGTCAACCTGTGATGCTCTGCTGCTGCAGGCCTATCAGCCCTGTGTGCACCTCTGTCATGGCCAATCATTATCTAGGACTCTGCAACCCTCACCATCTCCACCATCATCCTTGTTTTCATTTGGCTCCCTTCCTCCTTCAGCCTCCATTCCACCACCAGCATCAGGCCCCTTGATGCGCATAATGATGCCATTTGACATAAGATAAACCAAGTAATCATAATCAAGTGTTTAAATAAAATATATATATATATATATATATATATATATATATATATATATATATATATATATATATATATATATATATATATATATATATATATATATATATATATATATATATATTTATATAGATATTTCTTGTTGACTTTGATGTTTGGCAACACTGTACGATAGTGGAAATGCATAAAAACAAGACAGTTTAGTTTATTTTTGTAATGAGCTTTATTTAACAACCCGTGTTAAAGTGGAAACAGGCCCCAGTAACATTGAAAGTTAACTTTTTAACTTATTTTACACTTAAAAACAATTAAAAGATATTTTCAAAATGTTTAAATGGACTCAGTGTCTTTATGATGCAGTCTATACTAGGCTGCATGTGGAAACTGATGGAGCAGTTTCTCTAATATGTGAGGTGGGTGATGCACAGCACTCTGGCAAAACCTGTCCTCAGGCTTTTAACCGGGAATATTTCATAGGGTGTCCAACTTGGTGTATCACATTTTTAGGCTTTGCACGGCATAGGGGGGTATCCTCCCCTAGAAATTTTTTAAATATAGACCTCAGAAACACAATTTTCTGCATTTTGAGCTGGAATGCAGCTAACTCTTTGTTCCAACACTACTTTTGTCCTGATTATGGGAAGTATGTGTGCTTGACTAGAGGTGGACATTTCATAAGGAACACATTAGATAATTTTTAGGTACAATATTATTATGTTTCTTGGGTTAATTCAAACAATCAGCAGCCAAAAAGCATCTGCTGTTTTTAAACTGTTTTACATGGTCAAATAGTGGAAACCCTCCATGTGAAGACTGCAGAAAAAGATTTTGAAATTTCCTTAAGTGACAAATATAAACCATGCTATTGGCTCTCTTAAGCCCCATTTACACTACCCTTGCCGAGCATGTTAACTGTAGATAACTGTTAAGTGTAAATGGCAGGCACAACTGAACTGCCCCGTGCCAGACACAACCGAACTGTTCTAAACTGATACTAGTTCATCAGTAGTGCTCAGCTTGGTTCAGTTCGGGCTCAGTTCTCAGGTAACAAAGAATGCATGAGCAGACCGCATCATCTCCTTACAGTCAGCCTCCGTAACATGAAATTTCACACAAAAATTAATAAAAATAAAAGCTGCCACATGATTTCCAGTGATGATTCTGCGTAGCAGTGTGATGTACCTCGATGTCTGTCATTGTTTCCTGCGTCTGTAAGCTCTGATTAGACTATCGTTTGTCTTATCCACTTCCCAAAAGCCGACTCTGTCAAGTAAATTCACTGAAGGCCCTCTTCGCCTGTCCCTCCGCAAACTTCCTCAATGTTACAGGCGCCGCCATGTTGGTTTGCTTGGTTGGTTTGCTTGCTATGTCTAGCTACCTTCTAGAGAGCAGTAGTACTGAAGATCGCCACTAGAAGACAAGGGACCGTGCTAACGTGGTGTGCAAATGTGTCATGAGGAACAGCGCTCGGTGCGGTTAACTGATCCAAGCTCAGCACGGATCAGTTTTCAGAGGGTAGTGTAAATGGGGCTTTAGAGTTGAATCTCTCTCTGTGCACTACATCTTAAAAGTGGAGGTGTTGTGTGTGATCAAAGGAATGGAATAGGTTGCTACCAAACGACAGCATTGTACCATAGAGGGTTAACTATTACTGTTGGTTACGCATGTGAGCAGTGCATGGTGAGCTGATGTGTGCGTGCTCTTGAGGGAAGCCTTGATTTTTAGAAGACATTGCCTTACCTAGAGCGACAGCATTTAAATAGAACAAATACTGCTACCTGACTGAACTGTGCTGCGGGATTTGCAAGCTGACCCTAGGGCAGTGCATTGAATGCTTGAACTTGGGAAGATGTTGAAGGAACAGGCTTTAACCTCTTAACACCTACCTCATTTTGGGCAATCCTCGCCTATTTTGCATACCCAAATGGAAAAGCAAATAACTTAGGAACTGTAAGCCCAAATTATATGTGCAATACATTATTTGAAAGCTAACACCTTATAATTTCCTAATACATAAATTAAAATTAGGGTGACTAGAACACAGACCAACCTGCATCGGTTAAAAAATGACTCAAAGTTGTTGTTTTTTATTCTCGGAAATGATGAGGTCTTTTTTGAACAGCAGTCATAAAGACATTCTTGAGAAAAGACAGGTTTCACTGTATAATATTTGTTCTACATCATGTCAGCCACAAATGCAGACACTTTCAGACTTCTAGCTATAACAGTTCCTGAGCTGTGGGGTTTGGAACTTTTGGTGTCAGCTTGGAGCTGCCCACAATGGATTCACCTGCTGGTGTAAATTTTATCGGTGGAATTTTATGCATTCTGAATTATTACCCCCACTTAAGGTCCACCGGGTTGGCAGCGACCATTTACTTTTGAATACTTAAGTATTTACAAAAGTGAATACTTCAATACTCCAACTTGATCTTTGAACAAGTGACTTTTACATGTAGATGAGTAAAATTTGACAATGAGTATCAATATTTTTACTCAACTAAAAGTATTATTGTTGAGTACTTTCTCCACCACTGGCTCTGGGGACAATGTTACTATGGTAACAGAGGATGAGGAAACTATATCTGTTAAACCCCAGTGTTTCTCTGAATACAAGGTTAACAAACTTGAAGTTTTCATTAAACCTACTTTGGGAAACGGACCTCTGGTGCCTCAGGAAAGGCCTTGTTGCACTTTTATGACTGATTTTGTGATGGTTGCTTTTATGATCTTTCATCCTACTTCATGCTGTTAGTGAGGTTTAGTGTTGATGATTGGTTCTGTGGATCTGGCAGTGGTTAGACATGCGATTGACTAGTACTACTGAGCCAAAACAGGTGGTTTAACCTTTTTTATAGTCAGGTCGATATGGACAGTGTTCATATAGACCTGAATATAGTAAATACATTAAATAGTTCAAAACTACTGTTGTATCTTCTATATATCTGAATCTGGTGAGTAAAATCTCCTAAAACTACTGTGTGCTGTAATTGCTCCCAGGGAGTGACCTTTCGAGTGGAGAACGGTGAGTTAGTGATCGCGAGGATCCTTCATGGCGGCATGATCGACCAGCAAGGCCTGCTTCATGTGGGTGACATCATCAAAGAAGTGAACGGCAAAGAGGTGGACAATGACCCCAAAGTGCTCCAGGAGATGCTGAAGAAGGCGAGCGGCAGCGTGGTTCTGAAGATCCTGCCCAGCTACCAGGAGCCACACACACCGAGACAGGTCAGTCAGTCCCTTTCAGAGAGGAACGCTCTAAGTAATAGAGTTTAGAAAACGTTCCAATTTGCTTAAAAGGCTGCTGACATTTCCCTCAGTAGGAACCGCTTCCCACCCGCCCTGAGACCCACTCTGCTGTCTGTAACCTTGCAGGCTGAGCCAAGAACCACTTATCTGATTTTAGCAGTGCAGCATTTTGGCACAGTGGTCGGCTTTTATACCCAGATTACAGCCTTGTCATTGATGCAAATGTACTTTAATTTAATTTTTTTAATAAGTCAGGATGTTTTAAAAAAAACAACGTTATATATTTCTTATTCCCAAAGGTTTTAGTTTGAGATATTTTCTAAATATAATTAAATCTCTAGATTTTCAATTACATTTTTTTCCCCTTGAAGTAAAAGTCTGCTGCTACACTCGACCTTCAGGAATTAAGATAATTTGAAAAACCCAGTATTAATTTGGCTGAATTTGTTTACAGGTCATATATGCTGAAAGAGTGCAACCAACGATAATAAGAAATATATAAAATCCAAATTACATAAGGTTAAATATTCAGAATAAAAAATTGCATGCAGAATTAAACAAAAAAGATTTTTAGACGGTTAAATTGGATCAAAAATATTTCTAATGGACTCCATTCAGTTTGATCAATACTCACTGCAAGAAAGATCTAGAAATAAGTAAAAAATTACTTTAATTATTTGTAGTTTCCCCTAATTTGAGTAGGTAAATAAGATGATTTGCCAATAGATTTAGTTTATTTACCCTTAAAATAAGATAATTAGATAATATCCGTTGGAAATAAGTAAATATGTAATTGCCTTGTTCCATTGGCAAAGTTTTTCACTTACCTCCACAATTTAGGAAAAACACACTTATTTTACGAAAAAGACTCATTTAGATGTACATTTTTTGCAGAGCCCTCATCTTCCCCAATTTTCTCTCTAAATCAGCTGCTGTTTTTCTTTTTTTGATTTCCTAAAGCTTACTTTTTACTTGTTTTTCCTTTCTGATTTTTTTTTTTTTTTTTTTTTACTTTGTTTTATATATATTTTTTAATTTTTTGTTTCACACTTTGACACATTTCCCCATGTCAGTAAATACGTTTTATTTTCATTCTATTTTATTTCATTCTGTTGTATTCTATCTACATTAAGCTATTTTATCCTTGTCGAGCATTCCTCCAGATCACTTGTGATCTCGGGTTTATTTGGGAAACTTTTTGGGGATAGTGTTATTGACCAATGTGTTTTACATAGTCAGCCAGTCTTAGTTCTCTTTAAAAAGTAGAAGCAGCAGCTGTAGTTGATTAGCACAGCAGCCAAAAAGTTTAGTTACACTGAAACAGGTACTTCAGAAAATAAACTCACCAATTATCAACAACAAACTGCTTTGCTGCAGCCTATGCTGAGGGTCTAAACCAGGTCGGAAACAATTAATCAGATTAATTGTTAACTTCTGCTCTATCCAGAACTCCTCAAGTTGAAAAGTTTTAGATTGATTTCATAAAAAGCGTTTGTGGAACCTTTGGCTGTCTGATTATTAATCAATGAATCGAAAAAGGAATCGACAGATTAATCAATTTGCAAATTCATCGGTAGTTGCAGTCCTATTCTAAACTCTTAAATCCATCTCACATTGAGTTACCTAAAATAAGTGGAGTCAGCAAATGGGGGAAAAAAACACTAACAATTCTTGGTCGTTTGGAATTAGTTTACATGCTGAATGGTTACAACCTTTTTTTTTAATCAAATGCAAATATGATAAACTTTGCTCATTACCAGATATCATTGAACCTTCCTTGAATCCTGTATCTTTTCTGTATGATAGACCTGCCTGATACAGATGCTGGGATTAGCCTTATAACTGTGTCTGTTTTTCACATTACTGGGCTGACTTCTTGCACCAATAATTAAAGGCAGAAAAACACAATTTTATGATAAAATTGTACATTTCTACACCATTATATCTTTAACTATGTAGAAATCATTACTTATCCATGGAGAAAATTAATGCTGATCTTTGGGATTGGATTTTTCAGACCAGGGAGGACTAACGTAAACTTCTCTTAGACAAACGTATCTTTGAGAAACATTCTGATAGGGATTAGAGAGCTTGCGCTCCTGAGACAGAAAGCCTTCCTAAAAAGCACTGATGACCTCATTTCCTTGGTTACCTCTCTGACGATAAGATCTGAGCTCTCCCCAAAGCTGTGGGTAGTTCTACGGTTGGCCTGCACTGTGACTGGTTCTGTTGCAGAGCGGAGCTTCATCAGATCTCCTACACAAATGTCATCAGTGACTTTGGAAACAGTACTGAATAAAAACAGTGAATAATAAAAAGTCATATTTATGGAAAAAGCTAATTTATGTTTTAAAAAAAAAGCTTTTCAGAATCTAGTTTATTGCCAAGTAGGTTTGCACTTACAAGGAATTTGACTTTATGTTGATGGTGCAGACAAAATAGATATATATACAGAATACAGAGTCTATAGCTATATACAGTATAAAACATACAATAAACTACATGCAATATATAGTACAGAGCCATATACTATATACACAGTAGACTGTGCGTTAGTGCAACACAGAAGTACATCCGTTAGCATACATTTACATAGATTTAGGAGCTAATTATTCAACTTAAGTTTTATTTTTGTTCTACCTAATTTAAGGTAACTTCTTATTTTCATCGTGCCTGATATTTTAGTGTTTTTTTAACATTTGTACAGTTTATTTTTCAAAGCTATAAATTGCTACACTGCAGCGTATTTAAGCACTGCTGTAGGAACCAAAATGCATAAACCTAATGACACTTTCTTTGTAAATAAACTGCCTTCAAGTTTATTTTGTTACTTTTAGTAACATTTGATGATGCATAACGATAGTAGACTGTAAACAGCACTGCCAGAGTTCTAATTAATTTATAGCAGGAATCAATATTGGCAGAAATAAGAGTCTTCAAATTAAGATTTTGCCCACGGCCCCATGGTGTCAAGGTTTGATGTTGGTATGAGGACCCAAATGCAGAGGCAAGTAGGCAGAGTTGAATTTAGGTGGGTTTAATGAGGTTTATAGGAACTGAGGCAGGAATCAAAAATCCAACAGAAATAACAGATGAACCAGAACCAGGGAGAAATCAGGGGAAAGCCAAACTCTAGGAGCCAGGGAGAGACGAGGTACGCAGACAGACGTTAGACGAGGATCCAGCAAACAGGAACTGAAGAGGGAAGCTTTTAAAGGGGACAGAAACAAAGAGAGGGCTAACGAGAGGATTAGAAACAGGCGAGGACAGAGGAGAAAACAGAGCTAGGGATAGAGGACACAAGAGGGCAGCAGAGGACAACAAATGGAAAACCTGGAAGACAGGAACTAATAAGAAAACAACAAGATAATAATCAAATAACTAGGATAATGAAACATGGTGAAAAGAAAACTAAAAACTAGAAATCAAGGAGTAAGGAAAGACAGAATACTCAAAAGAAAAACATAACAGAAACAGAAACCTAACACATGGAGTCTTGGGCCGGGCCTGATTATAGAGCTGATCAAAGAAACAGACTCCATTATAGCTGAGGATTGGCTAAAATCAGAGCTATTAGATATATACATTTCTGAAAGAAAAGAAACGTTTAAGCTGTGTTAGAAAAATAACATGTTAAAGAAGAAAAAAAAATACAACAAAATTAAAAGTTAGGGAAAAGAGCATTAGATAAAAATCTTTTTCACAAAAACAGCAAGACGGTGATCATGATACAGTGCATGGATTGTTTTAGCTCTGAATGTTTCCTGAAGTGATCGTCTGGTCGGATATCTGAAGGTTCCTGCAGCTTTGGGAGATGCTCCATGCTGTGGAAATGACACACAGCCTAGAAAGAGCTAAATCTTAACTAGGAAAGCTGTTGGTGATGTAGGCTTATACAAAAGATTCTGTTTTAATATTTTAATGAAGGGCACATTTGGATTGGAAATTAAAGCCATAACCCCATAGTGTTGTAAATATTCTAATGACGCTGTGCTTTTCCTTCATATATATATTCTCTTTTCTTTGACCAAGGTAAAGTTTTTGCTCTGCTGTTCACTGGCTGTCATATTAAAACCTTGGTAAAGGTCCTTTCTTTCAGAGATCTTAATGGTTGAGCTCCCACCGTTAGAAGCTGCGTAGGTGGAATCAGTCGGTACGGACCTCCTGAAAGTTTCTCTAAATGTAATCCGGTTCTGTCCGGATCCGCCTCCCGCCTGACAATCACAGAGGAAGTAATCTATTCTGACAGCTCAGACAGGCTCCAGGATACTGTAGTTGTTGTTGTTGTGTGTTTGTGTCTGAGGGAGTTGGTGTGCCCATATGAGACAGTATGTGAGAGCTGCTGGGGTTTTTATGCTCCTCGGTAAAAGACAAAAAAATCGACATCATGTGCAGAGGGAGGGGATGGTTACCATGGCTACAGATTTTGTCTCCCTTTATTTCTTTATCCATCGCTCTTCTTTTCTTTTTCTTGATCTCCGTTTTTGTTCACTACATTTATAATGATCCAGTTCCCATTAGAGATCCTCCCAAGGCCTTACAAATCGTTCCAAATGTGCCCAGCTCTATAGTTAGATTGATTTTATTCCAATCATAGTTAGTTGCAGATCCTTTTCTACACAGTAAGTATAAATAAAGCTGATTACATCGAGTTGATGACTCTGCAGTTTTTCCTCCTCTTAAAGCTTGGTTTCCTCTGCCATCAGTGGCAGTTCTAGAAAATGTTAATAGTTGGAACCCTGTGCACTGAGGGGGGGAGCTGAAAACAAATCGGCGCCAAAAGCAGTTCATGGTCTATCTATAGTGATCAAAAAGAAAAAAAAAAACATGAAAAGCATCTATATTTCCCAAATAAATCCCTGAAGTGACCAGATTTTCATTAGACGCTTGCTAATAAAGCTGCACACATATTTATACATCGGCGCTTTTTAATTAATTTATGTTCGACACATTATAAACATAAAATAGGGTGAGCAGAGGGTTGCACTGGGCTGGGGTGGCCAACAGCCCCGCTGAACCCTCCTCTAGCTTAACCCCTGGTCATAATTGCATTGGACAAAATCTGCACTTCTTGTGAGGAAATATTTGGTTATTTTGGAGCTAAGACCTGCGGTTCATTATTAGGAAACATGGAAACATTCAAACTCCAGTTTATTGTCCAACGTTTGTTCCATTTTTCAAATAATTTTCTGTTTTTTTAATTAATCATTTAATCTTTATATATTTGTCTTATTTCATTTCTTTTATTTTTTTTCTCCTGTACAGCTCTTTCAATTGTCTTGCCACTGAAATGAATAAATAGATAAACTTGCTTGCCCTTTATTTAAATGCTGTCTTTAAAGAACTGTGATCACTTGATGCAAAAAACAAAAACAAAAAAATAAATAAATACGAATACGCACTGAGGAGAGATTCATTCCTATTATAGAACTTAGACGTGGATTTAGAAATGTGTTTCAAAATGATGAAAGTTAGTAACTGAAATGGCCACACGGCATCAAAATGTTTGAGCATCTTTTATTTTGTATCAATATTTTATCCAGTACTATGACGTAAGCAGAGGCGTGTTTTAACTAGTTACATTTACTTTTACTGGGCCGTACTAAATAAATATCTTAATGAGGTTTTACCTCCTTTACTTGAGTAAACTGTTTGGCTCTTCCATCCATCCTGAGTAAATTCACTGAAAAATGAACCTGTTCCTTTTTTAGTCCCGTAATGTCAACATTAATGGGGTTTTTACCCTTATCCTACCAGGATATTTAGAGGTCAAGCTAATATCTAGTGAGGAGTAAATATTATCACTGGAGGTTCTGATGTCATAAGTTTTAATAGAAAAGAATCTGCTTTGAAAAAGTGTTTATGTTTAGTTTTTTTGGACTGAAATTGTTAGTAGTCTTTAAAACAACAGCATTTACTTAAAATGCCAGAATAACAGTTTGATCAGTAATTACATCATTTAAAAATATCAGATGTCTTAGATAATAAATCACTCATTAATCAGCTGTTTTATTAAAAACTTGTTTATTCTTGAGTTATTGGTTGGATTGCAACTTTTTTTCATGCCTGAGTAAAAATAGAAGTATGTGTTATGCCTGTTGGAGTAAATGTTTTGGATAAATTAAGAAATGCTCCTTTCTATCTCCTCTTTCTTTCATCTTTTCCCTTTGTTTTTCTTTTTTCCTTTTTCTTCTGTTTTTCTGCTCTATTTACATTGCAGTGTCCATATAAACTGTAAAACTCCCTGCATAATTATAATAAATCAATTTATATGCATGAAACTTTGTGAAAGTAAAATCTGTTGGGCTCTTTTTGGCATCAAGACAATTATTCTTATTGCCACATTGCCAGACAGGACACTGTAAAAAAAAAAAAAAAAAATGACATTTAAAAATAAAATCTTTAACTATGCAGCTTAATCCAAACACTCCATTGCACTTTAATACATATTAGAGTGACATAATTTTTACAGCTTTTTTTATTGTCAGTACATTGTCACCAGTACAGAGCAAAGAATTGAACTCTGAATTTAACCCATCCCCTTTGGGGAGCAGTGGGCTGCCATTTGCGGCGCCCTGGGAGCAGTCTGGGCTCTAAGGTCTTTGCTCAGAGTGGCACCTAGAGAGAATATCAGACTAAACTTGTTTTATCTTTATTTGTCATTTCTGTTTAATATTTTGTAAATCTCATGGACATGAGTTTGGACTATTTTCCATAGGTTTTCTTGATGACAATTATCATTGTTTAATTTTATGCACTTAAAACAATGATGATCAATGTTGCTTTTTCTATGTAAAAAAGAGGGGTTTTCTTATTTAACTTGCTTATGAAGGTATGTAAGCTGTTATTCTCTCCAAGTCTTTAGACCGTCCTTGGCTAAATTTAATATATACCACAGCCGAGTCATTAATCCACTTATCCTGGATGTTTTACTGACATTTCTATCTTCTTTTTCACTTTCAGGCCTTTGTGAAGTGCCACTTTGATTACGACCCCACTCACGATAACCTGATTCCATGCAAGGAGGCGGGCCTCAGCTTCACAAGTGGAGACATTTTGCAGATCTTCAACCAGGAAGACCTAAACTGGTGGCAGGTGAGTTCAGCTCCCATCTGATACGCAGAGATGGGAAGTAACGAAGTACAAATACTTTGTTACTGTACTCAAGTAGATTTTTCTGATATTTTTACTTTACTTTACTACTTATTTTTATGGCGACTTTTTACTTCTACTCCTTACATTTTTACTCAAATATCTGTACTTTCTACTCCTTACATTTTAAAAAATTGGCTCGTTACTTTAGTTTTGAATCATTTCAATGGAGTTACCGTTATTATTTTTCACGTCATCAATACCAAATTCAATCTAATTGGATGGGAATCTACGTTGCATTTGACGCACCACTACAAGATGAATCGACAGATTCGGCGGTATTCATTGGCGGCAAATCATTGCAGCTTGGTGGCGGTGGCGTTAGCATAGTAGCATGGACGACGAGATGATTGAAAATGAACACAACGGAGATCTAGTCCTATTGGCCGACATCCATTTAAAATGTAGGCAACGGCAGGAAAAAAGTGGTTTCTACTTTTACTTTTATACTTTAAGTAAATTTACAAGCCTGTACTTTGTTACTTTTACTTGAGTAAAGAAGTTTAATCAGTAGTTCCACTTTTACCAGAGTATTTTTTAACACAAGTATCTGTACTTTTCCTGAAGTACGGAAAGTGAGTACTTTTGCCATCTCTGCTGATACGGCTCATTATTTATTCCTCTGAAGCTCTAGCTGTGTTCCTGTTTCCCTCCCAGGCCTGTCATATAGAGGGAGGCAGCGCAGGACTCATTCCCAGCCAGCTTCTTGAGGAGAAGAGGAAAGCTTTTGTGAAGCGGGATATGGAGCTTGCAACCTCAGGTAGTCCTCACTTCATGGAGGCTTCTCAAAAGCTCCTGGCTGCACATTCATCATAACACATCTGTTCATTTCATCTAGTTTAACGTTCTTTGCTGATCACTGAAAAGCCATCATAAGGGCAGAGGTGCCCCCATGCAGTCTGCTGGTTATTAAGCAGGAGGGTCTGACATTCACAAAATATTTTCTCCAAGATGGAGAATTGATTTGGAAGAGGTGATATGAGCCCTGCAAACAAAAGCTTGATCAATATGGATCTCTGCACACAGCAAACCTGCAGGGGGAGGAGGCCTCCTGCGTTTAGATCAGCAGCATAACGAGTCCTCAGGTGCAAACAAGGCAGGTGGTGAGTCATAGCAGGTCGCATGCCCTTCGCTTGCTGAGGACGGTGACAACCTGACAGTTCTGTCCTCTGAGCCAGAGAAGGACACATCTGTCTCTTCCTGTTATGCCGAGACACTGTCCGAATCCAAATGTTGGAGCAGAGAAACTCTTCTTGTCGCACACCAGATCCGATCACATGGTCCTTCTATTGCTCTTTTAACTGTTAAAAGCAGAAATTTAGCCTTAATTTAATCCACTGACCACAGCGTCTGCCATGCTGAACAGAAAGTTAACATATTGCCAAGTCACAGGTTCTTCCTGGCACCAGTTTGAGATGCAAGTTCTGATAAGTTCTGGTGAACAGCGCCATCTAGTGGTTTAGTGTGTACACGACCTGAGTTTTCCATGATTTTATCATCATTTCCACATGGATTTTGTTCAGAGGACTAGAATTGTAGGTGTAAGATATTTTTTTTTCCCATTTAAGGTCCTTTGTGTGGAGGAATGGGGGGCAAGAAAAAAAAAAAGATGATGTATTTAACCACCAAGAATGCAGGTAAAAGAAAGAGAAGCATAACATCTCTTTACAGATGTATATAAAATCACTACATCATTGTTTATATTCTGAACTTTTTTTATTCATTTTTTTATTTTCAGAGTTTGATCGACATGAGCTACGGATCTATGAAGAGGTTGCCAAAGTCCCTCCCTTCAGGAGGAAGACGCTGGTTCTGATTGGTGCACAGGGGGTGGGCCGACGCAGTCTGAAGAACAAACTGCTTGTGTCGGATCCCCATCGTTACGGGACCACCATACCCTGTCAGTTTACTATGAAATACTATCCTATTGTAAAATTTATCCTCAACCTTTTAAGTTTTTCTTTAATAGTTAATAATTGTGATAATTTGAAAAATAATTCTGGCGTGATTCATCTTAAACATTTTTGATCTATAACTTTTTCAAAGTTTCATTCTGGATTGAATGTTCTTTGCTTGCAACCACGTTTGGACTGGGAAAGATTTTTGGCATTTTTCCATCTACACGGGCCCATCTATTATACAACATTGTATTACTTCTTGAGCTCCTTGGTTATTTACATTCACAGGTTGGTGCATAGAGTAAGTCTTGGGGCCGGTATGATTTAAGGAGGGCCGACCCACTGGTCATATGCCTGCTATCACAGATTACCAATCCGAGCCTGTTTGCAACAATATTGCAACAAATATGACTCCATAGGGTTCTTCTAGCTTCTTTCATTAACGGAAACTAAGGGGGGTATCAGAAAACATTGCTTCTCTGAGTGCGTATAAAGCTCACCTAACAACAGGTACATCTAAATAGCAAAACATCTGTTGTTAACAGATAAGACCTTTTGTTTCACACATAGTTTTTGTTTAACTGAATTACGGTAATTAGGAAACACTAACAGAAAAGTGAGTCCTGTTAGTCTTAAAGCTGTAGCATCCCAAAGATCTCGGCTTTTTTTCAATCTGTAAGAGTCTCAGAGCTGATTCTCTGCCATTTTCTCTCTACTTAGACTTAGAGAAAACTTTGCTTTCATTTTGCTCTTTCCATTTCTTGAAATGCAGCAGCGATCAAATGTAAGCACTGGGAGGAAAAGAAATGGCGCAACAAAAAGTATTGATATGGTCATTTTGACACAGAGACTGTCACATGATTTTTTTTACATTCAGCTTTTTTTCTTGTTTTTTCAGCTAACTTCTAACTTGTTAGAAATTGTGTTTTTTATTCTAATCTCATTCTTATATTGTTTTAATGTGGATCCACTGCAGAATTTCAATGACTTGGACAGAGTTTAAGTGAATTAAGGATGTTTGATGGTGCAGATGTTATTATTGATTACTTACCTGTCCTCGGATAGCTAGCCTGTACTCTGTTCAACAGACTTGCCGTTGCACATTTCTAGCACAGCAACTATTCTGTGTCTCTGCATTCCCACAGCATAGTGCTTCAATTATTAGCCATGGGAATGATCTGTTTAGGTTGCCATCCTATACAGAGACACACTTAATATACTTTGATATAACACAGACTATTGTCAACACATAGTCTGTGTTTCCACCAAACAAAAAAAAAAAAAAAAAATCAAATAACAGAGCATTTCTTTTTTTCTCCTTTAATAATTGTTTCTATTGGATCAGTTGGAAAGGAATTGCCCTCCGTCTTCATTTTTTAATAAATCTCCATCTCTCAGTCACCTCCAGGAAGCCAAAGGTGGATGAGAGGGACGGTCAGATGTACGGCTTCATGTCACGGGGCGAGATGGAGTGTGACATCAGAAGCGGACGTTTCCTGGAGCACGGCGAGTACGACGGTAACCTGTACGGCACAAAGATCAACTCCATACACGAGGTGATAGAGACAGGAAAGATCTGCATCCTGGATGTCAACCCACAGGTCCAGTTTATCATTTGTTTTTATACATTTCAATACTGATAAATCAACCTTTACATGTTGATTTATGCTACAACACATTTAGATTTACCTTAAATAATTAATAGATAATCAGCTAGAAAAAAGACACAGAATTAAATCTCTCATGCATGAATTATGACAAACTCAGATTTGTTTTCCATCCTTAGGAATGTAAGACAAGGTTTATCTTTATTTTATAAAGAAATATTTATCTTTCCACTAAAGTGTACTTAATGCATTTTGTACTGTGAAAAAATCAATATACCAGCTAAATAATTGCATAGATCTAGTTGTAATTTAGTTTTAGAGTGGTGATACAGTATTCTGTTGGAATGGTGGTTTCTCTACTCCCCTGTAGAAACCAAAATACCCGAGGTGTTTTTTCGCCTGTGTGTCAGCCATCTTGGTTTCACTTGTTCACTTTTTTTTACATTGCATTGATCACCAAACTAGATTTTTCTGTATGGGATGATGCAACAGCTTCCACTAGATTGGACTATATGCATAAGCTGTTGCATCATCCCATACAGAAAAATCTAGTTTGGTGATCAATGCAATGGAAAAAAAAGTGAACAAGTGAAACCAAGATGGCTGACACACAGGCGAAAAAACACCTCGGCTATTTTGGTTATATATTTTTCTATATATATATATATATATATATATATATATATATATATATATATATATATATATATATATATATATATATATATATATATATATATATATATATATCTATATATAGATATATATATATATCTATATATATATATATAGATATATATATATCTATATATATATATAGATATATATATATATCTATATATATATATAGATATATATATATCTATATAGATATATATATAGATATATCTATAGATATCTATCTTTATAGATAGATATCTATATATATATATATACCTATAGATATATATCTATATAGATATATATCTATATCTATCTATATAGATATAGATATATATATATATCTATATATATATATAGATATATATATATATCTATATATATATATAGATATATATATATATATATATATATCTATATATATATATAGATATATATATATATCTATATATATATATAGATATATATATATCTATATATATATATAGATATATATATATATCTATATATATATATAGATATATATATATATCTATATATATATAGATATATATATATATCTATATATATATATAGATATATATATATATAGATATATATATATATATATCTATATATATATAGATATATATATATATCTATATATATATATAGATATATATATATATCTATATATATATATAGATATATATATATATATATATATATCTATATATATATATAGATATATATATATATCTATATATATATATAGATATATATATATCTATATATATATATAGATATATATATATATCTATATATATATATAGATATGTATATATATCTATATATATATATAGAAAAAAAAACACATAAAAAGTTGTAAACTGTAAGGATCTCTATACATGTAAAGGTTTTAATATTGTTACATATAGAGTAAGATCCAGCTGTTTACAAATTTCTGATTCTTTCCTTACTGTGTCTGTTTTTCCCCTGAAGGCCCTGAAAGTCCTGCGTACATCTGAGTTCCTGCCCTACGTGGTGTTCATTGAAGCCCCAGACTTTGAAGTCCTGAAAGCTATGAATAGGTCAGCGATTGAATCGGGAGTGGTCACCAAACAGCTGACGGTGAGTGTTTGCTTAGGAATGCTTGCTGTTGATCTATCATTTCAAATTAATAATGTTCTTTACAGCTGTTCCTTTTTAAAGCTGTTACATTATTTTGTTGTGGTGCCATTTTGATCATGTTAATGGAGAAAGAAAAAGCAATATTGGCTCCAAGAATCACCCTGAAAGAAATCAAGTTGATTGGTTAGACTGAGGTCAAAATAATCTGTATCTACCTTATAAAAAAAATAAACCCAGTATCGACTGATCTTTAGTAAAAAATATCAGTCATTAGTATAAAGTACCACCTGAAATCGAGAGATTTCACTGCATGTAACCTCTTTTATGTGTCAATTTTTTTTTCTTTTCTTTCCTCATTTGAGGTTTACCTGATACATAAGCAAACTAGGCATCTGCTTATAGCTCCATGGCAACAAGAGCGCCCCCAATCGCTAATTGTTATATTCTTTGCTTGCATAATGATTTTCTCCTAATTAAAGTGACAAAATAGTAAAAATTGTAACAGATTTATTTTGCATTAACATATTTGATCATACTGATAATAAGTAACATTTTAAGGTCAAATGCATGGGTAAAGGTTATACATTTCTAAGTAGACCTTTTGGATATTTATAAAGTTTTAAGGACTTAGTATTCAACTTTAAATCATGCTTCTTGTTTTTTCTCTTTAATCCACCCTCACATAGGACTCTGAACTAAAGAGGACAGTAGATGAGAGCGAGCGCATAAAGAGGGCCTATGGACATTACTTTGATCTCTGCATCGTGAACGACGGCTTGGAGGCGGCCTTCCAAAGCCTCCGGCTGGCGCTGGAGAAACTGGCGCTGGAGCATCAGTGGGTGCCGGTCAGCTGGGTGTTCTGAACATCATCAGCAAAGAGTCGGACGTTTCGTATTGATGCTGAGGAAGCTGTGCATCACCAGCCAGCGCAAGGGACCAGCCTCATCTAGAGCATTTTTGTACAAACTAAGTGTTCCTCTGTTGAGTCTAATGTCAAGTTGTGATTAATTTGTCAAAAGGATTTATGATGAGGTATAGTGCAATCGTGAGATCTTAGAAATGTGGACAATAAAAGTTGGACATTTATTTGGAGGGACAGTTTTAGCCTTCACATTCTTAAACTTTATGTAGTGTAATGTTTACATCGGTTCTCTAAGAAGGATTGAGGAAAGATACCAAATGTCTCATTTGTGTTGAACACCTCATCATTTGACATTTCATCACATGGTATGATTGTTGCTAAATCCTCTACGTCTACATGGATAAAAAAAAAAAAAGAAATGAATGGCAATAGTTACTGAAATATACATGCAATACATTTACTGAAGCATTTCTACATTTCTAATGAGACGCAACAGAGAAAGCATAAGATGTTTTTACATAATTTTCTTTTAAATGATGAATCCGAGAGTTTTTTCCTGACAGAAAATCCCAAAAAATTATCCGTAGCACCGATAACAATCACACCCTCAAAAGAAGCAAGAATAATCACGTTTAGTAGCCTAGATGCATAGTTTTACGAAGGGAATATATAGTATATAACGTTAGCCTTTACTTCTCGGACTCTTGATGGAGGAAAAGTTTTGTTCATTTTTGATGTACAAGCATTAAACCAGTGGCTTCAAATCCATGTTTACTTTCGCCTTAATATGGTTCAAAAGCCAAGGAAACACAATCTTTTCATCATGAAACTTTTCATCTCTATAAGTGTTTGTTACTTAGAAAAAAAAAACAGTTAAAACTCTGTTAACTTATTTATTAATCATTTAATCCTTATTTCAGCCTGTAAGTAATGTATTGTAATAAAGAGTGTATAGATAACATAAAGACACTTGGTTCTTTGGTCATTCTGTTGGTGTGTAGATGAAATGAGCAACTACACTTTACTCCAGTTTAATTCATTCTATTTGAGAGTATTTTACATGTTAATATATTACACCTCATCTGTAGATTTATCTTATTGTCAACTAAGCAGTTAAAAGAAAATAGTTAATTGGTTCAAAAATGATTGTTTTTTTTAAGTTTAAAGAAAAAGTGACGTGCATTCGTATTTAATCCACTTTAAGTCAATACTTTGACTTAGCTGCAAGTCTCAATAGATTGTATATTCAGTTAGTTTAGGGTCTCTGCAGTGCCTTGGTGGGAGGTTCTTGGGTGTGATTTTATTCTGTGGAAGCCATGATTGATTGCAGGATAGGTAGTTGCAGGTAGCTGGATTTAATTACTCCTCTTCGAAATCCCTCTGTCAAACACAAACTCGTCTATTTGGTTTCAAATGTGAGGAAAATTACTGAACCTCCCAAAACCAAGGCGTCCAAATGTAAATCCAACGACAATCTGTGAATTTTGCAAGGAGAAAAAAAAGAGCTTGTTTTATAATTGGACATTTTGTATTGTAAATAGAAAAATAAGGGAATCCAGAAATAAAACCTCAGAAAAATTTCATAATTTAAACAAAAGTTTTGAAAGTAACTTTGCTGTGTTCTCAGATATTTTTATTCAATTTCTTTTTTCGGATTTCTTTTTTTTTTTCTTTTTTAACAAATTTCTGTTTTATATTTAATTTTTTAAAATCATTTTTTCATAACTCTAACCCCATTTGGAAATAAAAACTATTTACAATAAGCCCTCCATAGCATGTTCTTGCTATACCTCTCAGATTAGGCAGATAGCCTTTACCAAAAAACAGATTCATCCCCACAACCCAGAATCATGTCAACCGTTGATCTCTATTTTTTCACTGGGTTGCTGATATGGAGTGAATTGCACATCACAGGCAACTTCGCCTGGACTATAAACACCACCTCACTGGTCAAAAGTGCTTGTTCTTCCTGCAGAGGATGAGGAGAGCCCACCTGCCCCCACCCATCCTCCCCACCTTCTACAGAAGCAGCATAGAGAACGTTCTGAGCAGCTGTCTCACTGTGTGGTGTGGAGGCTGCAGCGCCTCAGACTGGAAGAAAGTGAGAAATGTGAGAACAGCAGAGAGGATCATGGGGGCTCCTCTTCCCTCCATTAAAGACATTTCATCCCAGCGCTGCGTGTCCCGAGCCCGTGACATAACCAATGACCCCTCACCCCCCCACCATGGACTGTTCTCCCTGTTGCCCTCTGGGAAGAGGCTTCACAGCATTGGATGCAGGTCCAGCAGATTCCAGAACAGCTTCTTCCCCACCGCCATCAGACTGATGAATGTGGAAAAAACTCTAAATCATGAGGTCAATGAAGTCTATAAATCTTGTTATTTAACATATTATACAAATCCATCACAACAAAATGTATGTGTTAATGGAGCATGTTAATACATATTAGCCAAAAATTAATGACATACATGTCATATACATTTATTGATTAAATTGTTATTGTAATCACATATTACATATAATCTCAAGATTTTACATCAAGAATGAATTACAAGTAATCTGTTAATGCTATAATATTTTTCTATTTGCAAATTGTGCGTGCATGATGCCATATACTTTTATGATCCGTCTGTGTATTAGCCTGACATAGATTTACCATAGATCTAATTTAATGAACCGGTTTAATAACTCCACAGATCTTGAGTTTCAGCACTAGCAAAATCACATAAATCGGCTAAATAATAGCAACATCAAATTCATATTTTGCTTTTTGCCCATAGTTACAAGAATCTGATAACTTGCATATAGTTGACATACAAGTATGTATGCAAACACGAACACAAACACACATATACTATCCAGTGATTGAAAACCTTTAATGATATAACTCACACATGTAGTGTGAACTCACATTCATATGTATATATAAATATATATATACATACATATATGTATTTTTCACCAATATAACATCCAATCTATTTCAGCACATGACTTTTACAAATGACAAACATACAGAACACAAAAAAAATGACAGTGTCTTCCATTTAATGAAAAATTACTACATTGACATTAAATTACTTTCTATCTTCTAATGTTAGACACAATGTCAATGACTAACTCAGGCAATATTTCAAGTCCGTCAGAGATAGCCAGACTATTGTTATGTTACTGTTAGAAATATTTTATTTATACTCCGTTTGTGTTTCATGGGTTGTGTACCATCAACTATCATGATGTATAATGTGTGATTCATCATGCAATGGACGGGTTGTGAAAGAGGTCTGAACATCCCCTATCACATGTTGGGTTGTAAAAGAGGCCTGAACATCCTCTATCACGTTTCTTCTAAACATGTGTTCTTGGAACAATTCAATTGTAAAACAACCACAAGCTTTGTTTTAACATATGTGCTGAGGTTTAAAGTAAGATCATTTTGTTTCCCTTTCCCTTAGTTAAACCTCAGTTGGTGTAATTAGGGACATCCCCTGACTTCAATAAATAACAAGGAGAAAGCTGAAGACCAGCAGAGTGGGGTGGAGATTGTAAACTCCGCAGTCTCTTCCTACTCTCCTCGCGAGTAAACTAAATTAATTGTCTCTGTGCCTTCTTTCTTTCCCTGTATGTATGTATGATGTTTTAGGTGCTTAGACCTGACAGTTACAGACTATACTATAGGTTACATCAGTGTATAAATGGATTTTCTTGGTTAATAAATCCACTAACTATAAAATTACCCGTGAAATGTCTTCCCAATGCCAGCAAACTGCTTGTTTTTGCAGCCAAATGCTACACGCAGGCATTTTTATGGCACATCTCCGTGAGATTGGGGAGTACCAAGATGGCAGCAGGTGATTTTACTTTTTTCAGGCTATCAGCAAACCAGTGAATAAATGGAGATCAGTGATTTCAACTAGTCAGAGTTCCTAATGATGGCGGCGGAGAATTAAATAATAAACATTAACCCAACCTCAACCGATGGGCCGCTACTGTCCAGTCTGCTCTGAGCAGCACATAAGGAACATTAACACAACTGGAGGAGGTTCCCCAGATTATTGCTCATTGCTATTCATTAATGTTGTCAACAATATTATACATTTTTTATTCCGTTTGAAATGTGAGCAACTCTTAATGCAGAGAACAGAACATTTCTTCTAAATACAGAACAATTTGACACACGCATTTGACTGTTACATGTTTATAAAGTAAACATGTAACATAAATTTAAAATTTTTGTTTCACATACTTTATTCTTTTCAAATTGAGCTTTCCAGATGTCCTTCTCTTTACTCCTGAGGGCGGGCTTTCCTCTGGAGTAAAAAGCCAAGATGCAGTTCTATACAGGTTTTGGTCATAAAATTAGAATATCATGAAAAAGTAGATTGATTTCAGTAATTCCATTTAAAAAGTGAAACTTGTATATTATATTAATACATTACATACAAACTCATATATTTCAGATGTTTATTTTGTTTAATTTTGATGATTACAAATGACAACAAATGAAAATCTCAAATTCATCATATCAGAAAATTAGAATATTGTGAAAAGGTTCAAAATTGATGGCCCCTGGTGCCACACTCTAATCAGCTAATTAACTCAAACCACCTGCAAAAGCCTTTAAATGGTCTTTCAGTCTAGTTCTATAGGCTACACAATCATGGGGAAGACTGCTGACTTGACAGTTGTCCAAAAGACGACCATCGACACCTTGCACAAGGAGGGCAAGACACAAAAGGTCATCGCTAAAGAGGCTGGCTGTTCACAGAGCTCAGTGTCCAAGCACATTAATAGAGAGGCGAAGGGAAGGAAAAGATGTGGTCGAAAAAAGTGTACAAGCAAGAGAGATAACCGCACCCTGGAGAGGATTGTGAAACAAAACCCCTTCAAAAATGTGGGGGAGATTCACAAAGAGTGGACTGCAGCTGGAGTGAGTGCTTCAAGAACCACCACACACAGACGTATGAAAGACATGGGTTTCTGCTGTCGCATTCCTTGTGTCAAGCCACTCTTGAACCACAGACAGCGTCAGAAGCGTCTTGCCTGGGCTAAAGAGAAACAGGACTGGACTGCTGGTGAGTGGTCCAAAGTCATGTTCTCTGATGAAAGTAAATTTTGCATTTCCTTTGGAAATCAAGGTCCCAGAGTCTGGAGGAAAAGAAGAGAGGCACTTCATCCACGTTGCTTGAAGTCCAGTGTAAAGTTTCCACAGTCAGTGATGGTTTGGGGTGCCATGTCATCTGCTGGTGTTGGTCCATTGTGTTTTCTGAGGTCCAGGGTCAACGCAGCCACATACCAGGAAGTTTTAGAGCACTTCATGCTTCCTGCAGCTGACCAACTTTTTGGAGATGCAGATTTCATTTTCCAACAGGACTTGGCACCTGCACACAGTGCCAAAGCTACCAGTACCTGGTTGAAGGACCATGGTATCCCTGTTCTTAATTGGCCAGCAAACTCTCCTGACCTTAACCCCATAGAAAATCTATGGGGTATTGTGAAGAAGAAGATGCAATACACCAGACCCAACAATTCAGAAGAGCTAAAAGCCACTATTAGAGCAACCTGGGCTATCATAACACCTGAGCAGTGCCACAGACTGATCGACTCCATGCCACGCCGCATTGCTGCAGTAATACAGGCCAAAGGAGGCCCAACTAAATACTGAGTGCTGTACATGCTCATACTTTTCATGTTCATACTTTTCAGTTGGCCAACATTTCTATAAATCCTTTGTTTTTATTGGTCTTCAGTAATATTCTAATTTTCTGATATGATGAATTTGAGATTTTCATTTGTTGTCATTTGTAATCATCAAAATTAAACAAAATAAACATCTGAAATATATGAGTTTGTATGTAATGTATGAATATAATATACAAGTTTCACTTTTTAAATGGAATTACTGAAATCAATCTACTTTTTCATGATATTCTAATTTTATGACCAGCACCTGTATATAAGCAA